AATTTTTTTTTTCGCTTTGTAGTGGCGTTTGTTATCGTGTCAGAGACAGTTGACATTTCGATATCAAACTCAGTTTAAAGGTTATTAATCACAACAGTCGATGTAACAAACAGTTGGCATTCATTTTGGAAACGAAATACGGAAAAAAACAAACTTTAGTGGCTGTAATACTCTTAACCAGGTTTTTTTTTACGCAACCGATGTAAGGATTCTTACACACATCAAATCGTTTCGAAGAAAAACAAGATCTTGCATGTCATAAATATGTAAATGAAAGTAAGCATTAGTTTACGCACAAATTCCTCCAAAGTGAAACCTTGAATGTTTTTTATATTGAATACAGTATAACCTTATTCACCAGGGTCTAGAATGAATAAACACTAATTTAACATTTATATCAATTTCGTGTGAGTGGAATGATGTAAATATTCCCAAAGCACTTATAATAATTAGATATTATTTTTGTAATTACTAGTTAATTTAGCGGTTATAAAATTCATTTTAATTACCTATTATTGCTTGTACTTTTCTGATTAAGTAACGGGCTGCTTTCAAGTTGGTTTTGCGATATTCTATAAGTCCAGTAGCCATGCAAGATGCGGTGACACTTGTTACAATTCGCGACTGCGATTCGCTATCGCTACTACTGTCATCGATTCTTCTATGGTAACACGGACTTGTGATATCGCAAATCCAACTTGAAATTGGCTCGTTGTGTTTAAAATTAATAGCTAATTAATATGTATGTAATACCTTTTTGATTTTTAATTATCTAGGGAAAGGCTATTATAATGGGGTCATACTAACGTATGTTTTCTCGTATTTAAGAGCTTGTAGAACAAAAATTATTGATCCGCAGTCAGTCTGTCTGTGTATGAGTGTATGTACATCATACATCATTCAGTTGTCTGTCAGCGTATATCTGTTCATGATTTTATTATAAAGATAATATTCGAATCAATGCCTTTTCAACATCTTTAAATTTGTGTATACAATTAACAGTAATTATTTACCAAGGGACAGACGATACCTTTCTGACCCGAGCTGAATTATTTTCCGAAATCCGAAGGATCGATTTTTTGAAAAAAAACAAAATTACATAACAATATTTTGCAATTTATTTCCGAATCTGCAAAACCGAATGATTTTAAATATTGAAGATGGTTTACAGTTATTATAAGCATGATAAATTTTTAATCAAAATATATTTGCTTACCTTCTCTAAAACATTTAAGACGTCATTTCAAAATTTTATCGAATAAATCCTATCTAAAATGTGGAAAATGAGTTTACACTTGTGATTTATCATTGCATTCATATTTTTTTAGATTTGATTACACAGGATGACTCAAAAAAATTAATGAATAAGGCAATTTATTTTCTTGAAAAAATCAGGAACTGCAAAACCGAATGCTTTGAGACCTTGCAAACGTTTTACGGTTATCGCTAATCAAAATGTATTAAATTATCCTCTCATAAAAAATTCATGACATCATCTCAAAATTTTGGTGAATAAATCCTCCACAAATTTTACAAATTATTATCACTCTATACTTGTGACTTATCGTTGCGTTAATTTTTTTAGATTTGCTTATGCAAGTGGCCAAAAAAATTACGAATTAATAAATTTATTTTAACGACCAAATCAAGAATGGCTCATTTCATTTTTCCAAAAATTTGGGAATACAATATTGTTATTATTAGTATTTTACACTGCATCAATCCAAGTTTGTATAGGTGTCCTTGCAAAAATGTTGATGACATCATCATAAAATTTTGTGAAATAAAAACTCATTTAAAATACGCATAGCATGCTTCTTTACATGTACTGTAACCTTGCATATTTACACATGTTCATTTCAACTTTTAGAGGTTCTCATGAAAAAATAAAATTCGCAAAAATAAATTTTATAATTTTTCTAAAATGATGGATACGTTACAGTTAAAACCCGTTTTCAGTTAAAACGCTTTTTCCCTAGTTAAGACGCGTTTTTACTAAATGCCTTTGTGAGAAACAGAATTTACTGCTGCTTAAAAGTGAACGTCAATTAAAACTAATTCTTACTAGGCAAAGTTTGGTTAGCGTTTTACCATCTACATCTACCTTATATTTCTAAAATAAATACAAAATTTGACAACAATTGTTTCAGTACTTCCGGCAATTATCTGTCTTATCTTCTTAATATTCAGAACATTTTGTTCGATTGTGGTTTAAATAACAATTTTAATCCTGTGTTTTGTTGAACTTAAAGTAACCCATCTCTAATAACACTTGTCTTTCAACACTTAGGAATAGCAATCTGACGATCAAGTGTTTATTTATGTTTATGCATCGAAAGAATGTCACGTAGAAACTAGTTTGATTTCAACGAGTTTATCTTCTCAAATTCAAAAAAATTAATGAAATTTTGCTAAAATAGTAATTATATACCAAGGGAGAGAAAACAATTTTTATAGCCGAGCTGAATTATACCCGAGACGCGTAGCGTCGAGGGTAATAATGAAAGCGAGGCTATAAAATGGTTCTCTCCCGTGGTTTATATATTATTTTTTTCACTACTAGCACATTTGTTTAACTTTTCTTTAATGACAATGTATAAAAGTCGGAACGAATTTAAGATATCCATGAAAATCAAATAGCCTGTGAAAACAAATGAATAAAAATGACATTAAACCAAAAATCTTAATAAAGAGCAAAATGTCGACTAGCGACGAAGATACTAGTGTGTGCACCCCGCCAGAAATCCGAAAAGAAGCAAGTAACGTGCAGTGTGATCAATTACTGCCACAAAAATCAAAAGAGTTCTACTTAAAAGTTTACGCACAATTCAAAGATTGGTGCAAAATTAAAAAAGTGGCCAAAGTGTCAGAAAATGTCCTTCTTGTTTATATGGAAGAAAAAGCTAAAAACAAAAAAGCTTCCAGTCTATGGGCCACATTTTCTATGTTAAAACAAACTCTTAAATTAAAAGAAAATGTGGATATTTCAAAATATTATAAAGTAATTGCTTTTCTCAAACGCAAAAATGATTCCTACACACCCAAAAAGGCGGCTGTTTTTGAGAAGCATCAAATCACAAAATTTATTTTAGAAGCACCTGATGAAATTTTTCTTTCGTCTAAGGTAATTCTGTTAATTGACAATGAGATTTTAAAAAACGCCAAATTACATTTGCTTCCAGGTTATTCTCATTATAGGAATTGCAGGAGCTTGTCGGACAGATGAGCTCTGCAACATGAAAATGACAGATGTAGATACACGAGAGGATATGATAGTCATAAATATCCCTCAAACAAAAACAAAATCTTCTCGAAAATTTGTCATTATGGAGCCCACCTGGATTGATGTGGTTAAAAAATACTTGACAAAAAGGCCGTCTCCTGATATGGCAAGGCTTTTCATTGGGTTTAGAGGTGGAAAACCGACTAGACAAAACATGGGACATAATACGATAAGCAAGACACCTTATAAAATAGCTCAATACCTACAACTGCCAAATGTCGACAAATTTACTGGCCATACATTGAGGCGAACATCAGCGACTATTTTGGCTGATATGGTTGGGGACATATTATCACTCAAACGCCATGGGGGCTGGAAAAGTTCAATGGTTGCTGAAGGGTATGTTGAGGAGTCTCTCACTGACAAAAGAAGAATTGCAAATATAATTCAGGGAACACCTCATCACATTAACCTACCTGCTCCTAGCTCTTCCAATATTTTATGTGAGAGGAGTGAAGAAGTGTGTAGTGAAATGCCATCTACTTCCACACATGCTGCTACAAACAGTGAAATAACTATACCGGTGGAGAACTTTACCTCCAATCGCAATACATCGGGAATCAATATGACGTGCCACAACTGCACAATTAACTATTATTTCAAATAATTATAGTTGAGGTGTTAATCTTTAGTTACTTTGTTGTTAATACTTATTATTCTCAATTTTTTAATAAACATTTGTCTTTCGAATAACACAATATTATTTCTACATTAACATTTTCATTATTTATTATAAAAATACTACTTCTTAACAGATTACACAAATTAGAGGTTAAAAATGTCACGTGCTCGTAAGAATAACTGCAATAGATTTTTCATGATTGCTCTGGTGGCATTCTTGCTGGAGTGTGGTCCAGGCGGCAAATTTAAGATTTCGCAAGAAATTTCAGCTTCCCAGTTCTACATCATCTGTCATTAATAAACAATGTATAAAATGTGGCAGCTTAATGTCAAGTAAACACCTCAACTACGACATTCTAAGGTAACCATGGCAATACTGTCAATTATTTTCATTATCTACTAGTAGGAGAGAAAAATCCATTATTGGGTAAGGTGGAGAACAGTAATTTCTCAAGCATCAAACACGATATATAATGAAGTCTTCTGAGGCTAGTAGTGAAAAAAAAATCTTATCTAACATATACAAAATATGATGTCTGTACTTGTCATTTATCATTCCATTCATATTTTAGTTATCACTGCATTAAAATTTTTTATTTATATTTTTTATTAGATTTGCTTATACGGGGTGTCTGAAAAAAAATTAATGACTGAGTCAATTTATTTTATTGATTAAATCAAGAATTGCAATAACTGAATATGTACTTTGAAATCTTGATGTTGTGAAGTTATTTCAGTATTCTTTTAATCAACATGTTTATCAACCCCAAAAAATTGATTGCGTCATCTCAAAAGTAATTTGCAAATTGCGTGACCTTTAATAAGAAATTATTTTAAACTAAGACAAACGGCTTTTCGTGCATGACCAATTTTGACTAATTTCTTTTTCGATCTCTCGGTACTTCCTTAGCTTACACTCAGAAAGTAAAAATTAGGAATATGCTGCAGGTCTGAGATAAAGCCTAAAAGCGCCGTGGCCCCAAGATAAACGCTTGACATAACCTACCCCACTTCGCATTTTACCGATAAATATTTTAAAATAATAGATCAACAGTTCCATTCCGACTGCTATCTTAGCTTAGCTCAAATAAACAGCTTGATGCCACATCGACGTAACAACCGGATAAAATCCCACCAACTTCACAAAGAGCGGCATACGATGGCCTTGTCTTTGAACTGTACTTCTTATTAGTGACACCAAATTTAACCTACACATTCCTAAATGAATTTAGTAAGCCGGTGTTTCTCAAGAATGACTGTTTACGAAATGAATGAAAGAGCAAATAAAGAAATTGCTGAACCATATATAAAGAGTGAAGAAGGATACTGGCATAGTCTGAGAAAATATTTAAGAGAATATGCGGAAGTAACAGGTCTCCAGGGATTCCGGTACGTTGCTGAAAAACGTTCAACAGCTGAAAAGTGAGTGACTGTTTATTTCAACTATTTTTTATGTGAATTATCGTACATTTAAGGATTATTTGGAGTTTGGCTTTGATATTTTCATTAGGTGGTTGTATGTATATGATTTCCGAAATTCTGAATAAGTATGAGAATAGTCCAGTGGTTGTCAGTTTTGCGACCGAAGATACACCGCTGTATAAAATTCCGTTCCCTGCTGTTACCATTTGTCCAGAAGCAAAATATGACACAAGGGTGTTCAATTATAGCGATATCTTTTATCGGGTAAAGGATGGCAAATCAGTGAGCAAAACAAAGTGAGCAGGTATTTTATAGGAATTTCAGTTATACTTTCTACAAAGTTTAAGTTGTTTTTTTCGACTCTGTCAAAACAAAATCGTTTTCAATTTGTCAACGCAAATATAAATAGTAGGAGTGTAGTGTTTTATTAAAAGCCAAATTGAGACTTTATTTGAAAGTGATGAATCTGCAGGGTTGACAGCCGGGTGTGCGAGGCACGAAAAGTCACTTTTCTCCAAATACAATACTTCAAACGTGAAATTAGATCCAAATATAAATAACTGTGATAGTAATCAATTGAAGTTAGTTTATTTCAAATTCTTAAAGCAATAATACGATAACTAACATGTATTCTAACTTTCTAACGTCTAAAAAATTCAAAAAGACAAACCAAAAACTCCTAGGTCATGGAGACAGAATAACAGGAAGCAGCATTTAAACAAATGACGGCTAAAGAGCTCCACTCAAGAACCATTTATGACACTTTCCACATTACATCGAGAACGGTCGGTGTACAACGGAAGAGAGGCGGTGCCGTTTGGTTTAAAATGAATACTTAGGTAGATTAAAAACGTCTTAAATGTTATTATTACAATGTGCTTAATTATGGTATAAAAATAATAGTAGGTTATGATATGAGTTTATAATGCAAAGGATTCTAGCACGAATGAAAGTTGAGCGCATGAGCGAAGCGAAGTCCTGCATTATAAACGAATATCATATTTCATTTTGTGGGCGAAGTAGCGGTAATAGACCATCGGGTTTAATTTGTAAGTCTCAGTTTTATAAAAATAAGGTAAAAACCTTAATAAAAAATTAAAAATACAAATGACAATTCCTATTGGTTGCTATGAAGTTTTTTCAAACAATTCCATTGTCTTGTGAAAAATCCCTATGGTGTAGATACCATTGCGTTTCCATGACACCGCTAATCTGAAATCGCCATAATGTGGCAGGTTATAAATGATTTTCGTTGTGTCAAACATGAATTATGATGCTACTCGACCACAAAAATATTTATTACAACATAAAAATTCTAGTAACTTTTACTGGGTGTGAATATTCACTTTGAATAATTTTGTTATTTATTTACAGTTTGTTGTCCCTTTTATATACCATATTATTAAACTGTATAGGTTACATAAAGTATATTCTTTATAACCTTGTGAAGTTCCTCGCGATATCCACGCAGTTTTTTACTTTTTATGTAAAAGTGGGTCAGTGTCAAATTTAGCAGACCTTGTGTTTATCAAGTGAGTATAGGTTTTAAAAAAACTGCTTTTTATTAAATGGGTCCTTTTTTGTTTCACAACTTTTTTTGTTTTTTTTTGGTGTCTGTTTTTTTAATGTTATAAATATTTAACAGTTTTCACTTAAATAACCAGTTAAAATATACTTTTTACCGCAAATTAGCAAGTTTTTGTTATTTAATCGAGTCAAGTTTTCCTTAAGAATGTCAAAAATTTTAAAATTTGTAGTAGTGCCATCTTTCGGTCTAAATTTGAACTTCTTGAACGACAACAAACTCTTAGATATAACATTAGATAAATAATTTTGTTGTTATGTTTTATAGTAGGGTTTTTTATTAATAATTTATGTTGCAGTTACCAGCATTGGTAATATTATTCATTTAAGAAATTTATAAAAAAATAACTTTTTTTGATCAATTTGTATATTGTTCTAAAATTTCAAAATTACGGCTGTCGGTAACAAAAACTAACAGCAATCACATCAAACATCTGAAAAGGGTAATTAAAAAAAAATTAAAAGAACAAAAACCTGCTTCTGGATTCTTAATTTATGGGGGCTGACCGTAGCCAGCCGGCACTTAGGCCTCGCCTTTGGGCCCATTGTACCTTCCCCAAGTCCATATCAGTGTGTTTTCCCGTTCCTTTACTCGTCAAGCCACCCAACTGCTTGAATGTACTTGAGTAATGCAGAGGGTGGAAACTCCCTGATATTTGCCATACTAGGCCAGATGTCCCCTAGTATGGATTCCCTGTAGGAGGCTAGGGCTGGACACTCACGAAGAATGTGCTCAGCTGTTTCCTCTTCTTCATTGCATCCACGACAGATTGGGTCTGTTACCACCCCTATCGTATGTAGATGTTTGTTAAACTGGTAATGTCCCGTAAGGAATCCTACCAGTTTACGCAGTTTGTCCATTGAAAGTGAGAGATAAAATTTCGTCAACTTACGGTCTGGTGTCGCCATACAAGTTCTACTATCCCGACAGCTGCTCTTCACCCATATCTGCTCATGGCGTCTCTGGGTATATTGCTTTACGAGTACGTTCGAGAGGGCGACCGAAGGCGTGATTGCCGGTTCGGGTTCCCAGAAGGGCATGCGCGCGGCTCGCTTCGCCATCTCATCTGCCCTCTCGTTTCCTTCGTTGCCACTGTGTCCTTTGATCCAACAAAGTTCCACACTATTCCTCTGCGTTACATACTTTAGCGTTTGTTTGCACTCCCAAACCAACCCGGATCGAACCATACAGCTGTCCAGGGCTAGTAGTGCAGACTTGCTGTCAGTAAGTATGCGTATTGATTTGTTGCCGATTTCACGTTCGGCAATGATTCTAGCTCCCAGCATTATTCCCATCAGTTCTGTTTGTAAGACAGACGTGTGGGTGCCGAGAGGTACACTGATTTGTGCGTTCAGTTGTTCGGAGTAGATGCCGGCTCCTGAACCACTATCTGTTTTGGCACCATCGACATAGATATCTATGTCGGCTCGTCCTTCTAAATTATCATTCATTGATATTCTATATGTCTTCTCATATATTAATTTTGTGCCCATTCGGTTACAACCCATCCTTAACAAGGGTATTCTGTTGAACGCCTCCGTTAAGATCCGAGTGTGCTTCGTTGTGCGGCCTTGCTTGTTCCATACTCCCAGAGAGTGAAGTCTTAGAGACGTCGTCATTGCCGCTTCCTCTATGTAAAGGTTAAGAGGTGCTAAGCAAAGAAGAGTCTCCAGAGCCGCTGTGGGAGTGGTCCTCATTGCTCCTGTAATACTGAGACACGCCATTCTCTGAACGTGTTCAAGTTGCAGGGCTGTTGTTTTTTGTCTGGCTCTGGGCCACCAAACTAAAGCTCCATAGCACAGCATCGGTCTGACTATTGCCGTGTAGATCCAGCGGGCGATCTTGGGATTTAAACCCCACGACCTTCCCGCCACCCTACGACATTGCCAAAGAGCCGAACGTGTCTTTTCTACTTTATGAGGATCCCGCCAAATTCTGGGCCTTTGTCAATCTACAACGTGGTAAGTCTAGGATACCTGGGGTAGTAAATTACAATGAATCCAGCCATTGTACACCTACTGCAGTCCTTAATGCTTTTGCTTCTTTCTTTGCTAGTGTATTTACCGATTCTGATAATACCTTTTGTGCATCCAGTCCGATCAACATACAATCTTTAAATGTAAGTCTGCCACTTATAACAAATGAAGATGTTGTTGCCGCTTGCAAGAAGTTAAAAAGTAAATTTACAGCCGGAGTCGACGGCATCCCGGCGTTTCTAGTGAAAGACTGTGCAGTCCTCTTTGCAACACCACTTACCCGTTTGTTTAATTTATGCATTCAGACTGGACAATTTCCATATACTTGGAAAAAAGCGCGCATTTGCCCTGTACACAAGGACGGCGATATTTCTGATGTGTCTAACTATAGACCTATTTCCATTCTGTGCAATTTTTCCAAGATTTTTGAGATGGTTATATACGGAAAAATATATCACCAAGTCCTGCCAAAAATTTCACTTAGTCAACATGGCTTTGTGAAAGGACGGTCTACCCTTACCAATCTAGTTCAGTTTACTCAATATGCTCTCAGTGTATTAGATAAAGGTGGTCAATTAGATGTCATATATTTTGATTTTCGTCGTGCGTTTGACAGAATTGATCATTACATTTTATTGTATAAATTGCAGATGTTTGGGTTTGACAGTAACTTAGTCAAATTATTTGAGAGTTATCTCCTTGGACGGACACAGTACGTTTCATATGAAGGTTTCAATTCTTTCTCATATCCAGTTCGTTCCGGCGTGCCTCAAGGGTCTAACCTTGGCCCACTTTTATTTCTTCTTTTTATGAACGACCTGCCGGATATTGTTAAAAACAAAATTTTGCTTTATGCTGATGACGTCAAATTATTTAGAGAGGTAAAGGATCAGGATGACAGTCACTCATTACAGAACGATGTATCTAAATTTGTGCTATGGTCTGAGAATAACAGACTATCACTATCGCTTGATAAATGTAGATACATAGCATATTCTAATAAAAAGTATCCTGTGGTCACTAATTATTTCTTAAGTAATGTAAGCATTAAGAGAGATGTCGTTATTAAAGACCTAGGTGTAATTTTTGATGTAAAATTACAGTTTGCTGAACACTACAGATACATTGCAGGTAAGGCGTCCAAAATTACGGGATTTATTATACGTAATTCAAAATCGTTTAATACTGAATGCGTTAAGAAATTGTATTTTTGCTACGCAAGATCTCTACTCGATTATTGCTCTACTGTGTGGTCACCTATAGATCAATGCCACAAGATGTCGTTGGAGAAGATACAGAGACGGCTGCTGAAGTATCTAGCCTTTAAAAGCGACAATATATACCCTCCACGCAAATTTCCAGAGAACCGGCTACTTGAAAGATTCAGTATTCCAGCTTTAGAGATAAGAAGAAATATCCTTGCTGTATCATTCCTATATAAGGTCGTCAATGGTTATATCGATACTCCAGAAATATTGGAAGTTATAAAATTTCGCGTGCCACAACTTCAGCTCAGAAGTACAGATACGTTCTATTTGCCTACAGCCAGAACAAAATTATTGAAGAAATCACCTATATATCTGATGTGTGCAACCTTCAACAAATACGGGAAAAGCTGCGATATATTCTACGATAGCCAAAGATGCATCAGAAGTATCATTTGTTTAAAGTCGATGGCTAATTTCCAATAGTAAATTATGCTTTTGAATATTCCTTTTTTTTCTTTAGATTTCTTTTTTTAATTTATGTAATTTATGAGTTATCGTTTATTCATTTATATGTGAAATTATCTATAACTACCACTGTAATGTCAAATAGTATTTTATTTAGAATTATATTCAGTCAGGTACATATTATCCTATAATTGGGCCACGGTCTGTTGGATAATAAACATTTATTTATTTATTTATTTATTTATTTATCATCTACATGCTTCTTCCAATTCAGTCGCCAGTCCAATACAACTCCCAGGTATTTGACTTCTTCCGAAAGTTGAAGCGTTGTGTTAAATATTTTTGGCATCTGTAGTGTGCCAATTTTCCTTTTCCTAGTGAACAGGATTAGTTTCGTCTTTTCTCCATTAACGGAGAGGGTATGCCTGCTGCACCATTCCTCGACTATTTTTACTGCAGCTTGCATTATCTCACATAATGTATCTGCGTTTTTTCCTGTTAGCAGAATGACTAGATCGTCCGCGTATCCAATTGTGTGGTAGCCAAGATCATTGAGGCGTCGTATCAGGCTGTCAACGACAGTATCCCACAGTACAGGAGAGAGAACTCCTCCCTGAGGACATCCCCTGTCTACAACAGCCTCGATCTCAGTGCCACCTACATTAATCATTACTTCCCTATTCCTCAGCATACCGGCCACTTAGGGTGGGGTCCACGTCGTGCTCTCGTAGGGCTAGTTCTATGCTTTTGAAGGTCGTTTTATCAAACGCTCCTTCAATATCCAAAAACATTCCTAAGGTGAAGAGTTTGTTCTCCATCGCCCACTCTATACGGTTTACAACTGTGTGTAGGGCCGTATCGGTGGATCTTCCTTGGATGTAGGCATGTTGGTTCGGATGTAGAGGTTGCTTGCTCAAAGCAGTCTCCCGAATCTCTTTTTCGCTTAGTCTTTCTAGCGTTCTCAGCAAGAATGATGTTAAGCTAATTGGTCTGTAGGATTTAGCCAAGGTGTAATCTTGTCGTCCTGGCTTAGGTATAAAGATAACCTTTACTTTTCGCCATGCATTCGGTATGTAGCTGAAAGCCAGACACGCCCGAAGCATTGGCAACAAAATAGGGCGTAGTCTGCTCATTCCCCTCTGCAGGAGGGCGGGATAAATACCGTCAACTCCTGGAGATTTGTATGGGGAAAAGAGTCCACTGCCCACTCCAGTCTTGCCTCCGTGACTACCTTTGCTGCCAGCGCCCAGTCCTTCGGGGAAGGTTGAGTACCGGCTACATCCCTTTTGGAATGGGGGGTAGTCCTTGTGCTGCCTGGAAACATGGTCTGCAGCAAAAGTTCTGCGGATTCTTCTAAGGTGGCTGTAAAGGTGCCATCTTCTTTCTTTAGGAAACCTAGTTGATGTGTGTGGTCCTTCGAGAGAACTCTCTTCAGCCTTGCGGCCGAAGCAGTCGACGTTATATCGCTGCAGAAGGATCTCCACGTTTCCCGTTTCCTCTTTCTTAATTCTTTCTTAAACTCTTTCCGGTGCTCTTTATAGGCTTCCCAGTCTTCAGTTTTCTTAGTGTTTTTTGCTCTATTGAAAAGTTTTCTTAGCCCCGATTGAAGTAGGCTGAGCCTTCGGTTCCACCATGGTGTACCTTTGCCCAGACCTTCCTTCTTTAGGGGGCAACTTTTCTCATACGCTGACATTAGATAGTCGTTGATAATGCTCAAGGTTTTCTCTATGTTTTCTGTCGATCTGTATTCTGTTGGTATAGACTGCACGGAGGTCCCCAGTCTGTCGTCCAGTTCTTCGTTGTATAAAGCCCAGTTCGTCAGCCTAGGGTTCCTGTACGTCTTTGCCTCCGTGTTTATACATTTTAATGTATACATGATCCATCTATGGTCTGACACTGACGCCTCTTTAGAGACGTGCCATCCCATTATATATTGTGAGATATATAATGGGATGGCACGTCTACCTGCTTTAAAAGTAAAACAATTAAAACAAATCTCGGCAAAAGTACCATTCCTGTCTCCAGAATAGTTCAGCTCGGGCAGGAATGGAATACTTTCCGCCTCGGTACGTTATATAATACCGATACGTAAAATCTAAGAAAAATTTTACGTATCGGCTGGGTCCCGGGGGTTAGATTATTTTAGCAACATTAGTTGTTATTTTGAGTATTATAATTGAAATAAAAAGTTGTTGCACTTGAAAGGTTAATTTTTAATTTGCTAGAACCGGGAGGGTCAACGGAGAAATGTAATATGTACCTCGGCAAACTGCAGATTCGTCTATAATATGCACTTTTTCGTCTTTGGTATATAAATAGCTATTTTGAAGCAATACCAAAAGTTCATTATTTTTTACTTCCCGAGCGTACATTAAGGAAGTATTATAATCGAGTCCATCGGGCGACTGGCTACTTTTATGTTTTCTTGACGAGAGTACGGAAAGGTAGGCCTCTCTGTGTCGATTTTCATTAGGCAGATAATTTTCTAAACTGCAGGACCCAATGTTTGTCAAATTTTGTATGTAAATTAAGAATATCGTGTAGATGGAAAAACGCTAACCAAAATTCGTCTAATATCCTCATACGACGTCATTTTCAAATTTTATAATAGTAAGATCCGGTTTATGGAAAGCGAATTAAAAGTTAATAGCGATTAACTTTTAATTGAGGTCCGTATGCAATGTGCATGTTTTAACCAATCATAGGCTCGTATTATACATTTTAATTCTCTGTTAAATTAATCGAGGATTTAATATTTAATTCGCGTTCCATAAACCGGCCTTAAATGTTGTTTAAATTTTTTAAAATAACATATTTACCATTACCAATCTACTTGTGGTTTAAGTATATTTTAAGTATGCTCTCATGGAGTGAAACATTGCAAACGTTATAACGCTAGCGGAAACAAGGTAAATCGTTAATCAAAATTTATCCCTTTACAACCCCCCTGAAAACTGATGAGGAAATTTTGCCGAATAAATCCTGTCTAAATTGTACAAATTATGATGTTTCTTACTTGTGATTTATCACTACATTAATATTTTTTAGAATTGCTCTACTAGTTAACTTAAAAAATTAATGGATGATTCAATTTATTTTATTGATTGATTCACTTCATTTTCCCGAAAATTTGGAAATACAGTACGGTTATTATTAGTAGGCCATATTCAAATTACAAACACATCTTTATTATAAGTTATAGAGTTTCTCATAAAAAAATAAAATTCACTAAATCAAATTTTATAATTTTTCGAAAAAACTGAATGTTTTGCAGAAATAACTTTCGACCATTTTTTTTAGAAGGAAAGGTTTTTAAAAAATGTTGGATGAGCATAACATAACTGATTTTTTCCAATTCTCATTAATTAAACTTCCATTTTATGCATTGAATATACATTGAATATTTTTATTATTAAAACAATAGTTTAATCGAAAGAATGTATAAAATGTTTATAGTAGCACTTTATTCGCACGACTATTGACAACCCGAATAAAGTAAAAAAATTACAGTTCACTATCATGGCTCTACTTTTGAAATTTTCGTCGCCATGGAAAAATTTTCGCAAGTGTAAATTCGAATGGAAGGCTTGGAACCTCCACTCCACGAAAGTAGAGTCGACTTAACTTCCACTACACTTGACCTAGACAAAATCTAAGCCCATATGTACGATTTTAAGGTGACGTCATTACATTGTCGGTGGGGATGATTAGACCAAATTTGGTTAGCCTTTTATCATTTACATTTACATATAAAATTTGACCACAATCTGCTGGTAATTTCGGAGATTATCTCTCTAACAAAAGTTGATACAGATGGTGAAGCGACAGACACACAGAGACGAAAACGGGAGACCTATGTTTTTGTACTGTAGGGGTCATGATACATCGAGAAAGTGTGCTAGTCGCCCGATGAACTCAATTACAATATTTCCTTAGTTTACGCTCGGAAGTAATACTAATTGTTGAAAAAACCTGATGTGATGGAGTTTTTTTTTTATTATTTTTCCCTTTTTTAGCACCACTAACTCTATTAAAATCACTAGATAGATTCCAGACAATTTGAAAATCGCAGGCCTGTGTAATTTTTATTGTATTTTTTTGTTATAATAATTGCTTTAGCGAAAATTCTTTCTTTTAACTCTTTATTTCACAATTAATAATCTTGTTTCTAGTTTAACGATGTTTCAACGTCTAAGTGTTCTCTGCGAAGTCAAATATCCTACCGAATTTGAAAATAATACACTGGATAACGAAGTCTTTGAAACCATAGACAAAGTAAGTGAAAATTAAGTAGGAATGGCTTATTGTATGTTTAAAGAAAGTTTCAATCACGTTTCACTAAATATTATTACGCCAATGATGTATAATTTTATTTATCTACAACTTGTTAATAAAGTTACTTTTATATAACTCATGAGGTACATAAAGATGTTCATTATGTAACTAGTGTTATAGTGATGTTTCATTATATAACTAGCATTATAATAACAGTCAACTATGAAAACTTAATTTTTTGACAGTATTTAATTATTTACTGCATTTGTATTATTAATTTTGACACTTCCACCAAATTAACATATTCAATGTTCTCCGAAGTTATGAAAAAATTACGAGAAATTTTCGTTTTTGTGTTCGGTTTTCTAACGTAGAAAAAATGTCCTTCATTTTTCATATTTTCAAACAGCAAATTAGTTAATTCGTCCTTCCTGCATGCATTCGCAACTCGCATAATCAGAACCACCTGAAAATTAATTTCGTATATGAATATATCAGGAAAATTTTAATACTTTCGTTAGTAACCATTGTTCATCTTCACCTTCATGCAGGAAGGTGGTCACATCATTTTTAGAGAAAATATTTGAACAATAATTTTATGTCACCATCTCATTCTGTCTTATGCATTTTGTGCGAAACAAAAAATTACCAGATTTTGAGTATCTCGTAAAAATTTTGTCAAATTTTGAAATTTGTCAACAAAATTATTTGGAAAACAGAATCTTTGGTTTATTTAATGTTTTAATACTCTACTTAATTTTGTTTTACACTTCTTTTACTTTCTAGTTAATTAACTATGAAACGATTTAATAATCAAACAAAACAGTTTATATTAAATGTATTGGATTATCTAGACAGAAGCCATGATGTGCAATGTAAGAAAAAAAGAAAAACAGAACTGGCAGCCGAGATGTTAAAAATTTCTGAAAAATCTTTATATAATTTACAAAAAATGCATGTTCAAGTGACACGAAGTGTAAAGAGAATATGTCCACTACTATTAGAAATATAAACACTCAAGTAAATCTTGTAGATTTAACGTTAGTCAGGGAAATTATATATAAAATGATTGCATCTAACAACCACGTAACTATGAAGTCGCTTCATGCTAGAGTTGTGAAACAGGTACCAGATTTTAAAGTTAGACCAAAGACACTAAACACATAGATTAAAAAGAAGAACAAAATTTCACCACCACAGACACGAAATTATACAAACCCCTTTTTCTGAATGAAATATAGATATTTAGTATACTCTCGTATTACCAACTAAATTCATCTTTGGTCTGCGTTAACATGGACATTACGCAATTTGTATGGACAAAGCGCTTAATCATGTGGTAGTTCGCCTTTTGGCTAGAATCAACAGACATTTCTATATTTGTCTAGACAAAACGCAATTTGTCTAAATTATTGTTTTGTACTGTTATAACTAGTTTTATATTTTAGACTAAAATTGAACCAAGGGATATGTTTATGCTCTGTAGTTATATCAATGAAACTAATGGGCTGGGTTGTGAGTCATTATTTAAGCCTGTTTTTATAGATGGAGGATTATGTTATTCGTTTAATAATTTAGGCCGAGATGACATATTTAACGATCACGTGTAAGTTGAACACTGCTTTAATATGTTTATAAATGATTATTTGTAGGTATAATTACGCAAAATACTATGAAGTTCCTCACAAAATGGCAGATTATTTCAATGTGGAAACCGGATACAAAGAAAATATCGGTATTGACGCGTATCCTAGAAGAACGCTAAAGCCTGGTCCAAAAAATGGAATGACAATATTGTTAAAGTTTGACGATAAATGGCATGATCCTACATGTAATATTTTTTTCAAGGGATTTAGAGTAAGTATTATACAGTTGACATTTCAAGAAATATAAAAAGCAAATTCTCAAGTCCATTCCATTGGATTATTTTATTTTATATTTACTTATTACATTTTTCTACTTTACCGACGATTTCTGTGATAGTAAAAAGTTATTTTATCAACTCACGTAATTTTTACCCATACTTTTGTCATTTTGCATGTCGTTAATTTTTGTCGACGCTGGGTCTGTGAAGCAGAAACTCCACCACTGAGCCATGCCTGCTATAACAGGGTTCGTGCTTTGTTTGTAAAGAAAAGGCGGTTACACAATAAAAAAATAGGTCGAAAGTTCTTAAAAAAACATTTGGCGCCCCCGAGAAGATTTTACACTTTTAAAAAATACAGTTGGGACCCCCAAGAAGGTTTCACATTACAAAAAATGTCATGTCAGGCCACCGAGAAGGTTTTACATTTTTAAAAAAGACACTTGGGACCGCCGAGAAGATTTCACATTCTTAAAGAAATACATTTGGTGCCCCCGAGAAGGTTTTACCAACATTTTCAAATAACGAGGGAAGTAATCTCACCTTTTCGAGAAAGTTCTGCTTGCTAATTTTAACAATAAAATGTTAATGTCTTCTTCCTTGCACATTATTTATTTATATCTATATTTATTTTCTACTTGTAGGTTTTAATTCATAGCCCTTGGGAAGTGCCTCTCTTTGGACAATATTACATTAGCGTTCCCACTAATAAATATTTGTCCGCTGTTGTGGAAGGTGAATATGTCCGATCTTCTGAAAATCTCAGCAAAATTAAGGCCAAGAAAAGAAGGTGCTACATGCGAGATGAATACTCTCTAAAATATTTTAAAATTTATACTCAATCTAACTGTTTCCTTGAATGTCGCACTAATTATACCTTGAAACAATGTGGCTGTGTTCAATATTTCATGCCCCGTGAGTATATTACATATTTTAAGAAAAAATATTTTGTATGATTTTTACAATAGGCGAGAATACAACTGCGATTTGTGGTAGACCTCTTCACGAATGTACACAACAAGCTGAAAGTAAGGACAAACTCAGGATGTATGTAAATATTTTTTAATTTTATTGGTAATTAGGTGCCTTCATAAAAGAACAACTGGAAGCTAACTTAAAAGGATATGACTTTTGTGATTGTCTACCTGCCTGTTCAAATTTGAAATTTCGGGTAGAAACTTCGCAAGACACTTTCCATGTGAAAGAATTTTGGAATGCAATAGGAGGCGCCGATAGATATTTAGAAGGGTATTAAAATATGTTTGGATAGTTATATAATATATATATATATATATAAAACAAAAATTTTTAGCTGGTCCTGGTCATTGATGCATATTTATTTCAAAGACGAACAGATTAGAACACTGGAAAGAAATGAACTGTATGGTACCTCTGATTTAATTTCCAACTTAGGAGGCCTTTTAGGATTATTTACGGGATTTTCATTGCTTTCGATTATTGAAATTCTTTACTTTTGTTCTTTACGTATTTTCTGCAATAAAAAAATCTATGGAAGTTGGTCAGGTCCTTAAACTAAAGGACGAGATAACACTTCTAGAAAAGTCTGAAGCAATTTTATTAGGAGAAGGTCAATGCACTTTTCTTTCACTGGAACGATGGTGTAAAATTTAATTAATTGTTGTTATTACTTTGTTGTAAAGTCATTAGACGCATTATTTTGAAGTAAATTTGTAAAGTTGACACACAATGAAAAAAAAACAGGAAAATAAAATATGTTGATAACGGAAGTTATGAGTGAGCTTGTATGTAATATTTTTCTTTTGCCTTCTTGAAAACAACATGATTTGATACGTCGGAATATGAAGTGACAGAATACTTACTAAAATCAATTAACTGAAAAATTACCAAAATCCACGTTTAGAATGCAAAATCCATGGTTATTATTTATATAGTGGATATTTACAAAGGTCAACAGCCAATTGTTTTTTTTTTCGTTGTGGGTCGTCTATCTGTATATTTTGTATTAATAAAAAAGTAGTATTCTAAATGTTACTTCTAGACCAGAGCCTTGGAAACATGAAAAATATACTCTTAAGTAAATATCTATTGATTTTTTTTAAGTAAGACAAATTCCATAATATATTTGCATTAAAAAAATTTAAAAAAATTTAAAAAGTAAACAAAATGTAATCCGTTAAGTGATTTTACAAGAAAGTTTAATGTAATGGTGGGTATGTCAGAAACATTCCTCGACAAATTTTTCCCTACATAGCCCAAATTAATTTCAGTGGTATTCTCTGCATTAAAGATGTCAATATAACTTACCTTTTGTAAGTTTTTGCATTACCAGTATTTCTAAAATTTGGGAAAATAACCGTTTCGGCATTTTCTTTCTTGAATTCGAATTATACGGGGTGTCTGGAAAATGGCGGATTAACTCTCCCCTACGCTCTTAACAATCAACTGGTGAGTCTGGGAAAAATAGTAAAAAAAAATCCTTCCCACATTTTGGTGGGGTTATAATAATTTTAGAATTGGTTCTTTTGCTACGTTTAACAACTGCACATTCATTATCACAATAACTAGTAATAAAACTTTTAGTTAATATTTCTCTCGCCTATGACAATATTCAATTACGATTTCAGTTAGAATGTACATACAAAGATATGGTTGTGTTGTTTTTGCAATAATTTGATAAAATTCCATTTGACATCATTATTTACCTGATATAATAAAGAGAAGGTACAATCAGCAAAAATCGAGTAAGCAGTTACAAATGTTTGGCGTATCAAAAAAAAATTATTGGTTTTCAAAACCCTACGTTCAAAATGTTCCCAGTTAATGAAAATGCTAATGTGTATGGTTTTTGACGAATGCGAAGGGAATGCTACTGTTGCCGCACGGGTTTGTACTGAGTGTTATCCGGTAAGAAGGCATCCCACAGTAAATGAGATTAGGCAACTGGACGCAAGATTGAGGAAAACAGGCAGCTTACTTCTTACTCCTAGTTTCATGATCGAGGTCGTTCTAGGATCACACGTACTTCAAAGTTAAAGGAGGATGTCGTACATCTATTGACATAGTTGGAAGTGTATGTAGATTACGATTTACCTCTAAAATTTTGTGGACTGATGACTAAATTTTACAAAAAAAAAAATGATCAAAATTTGGAAACATTACGAGCTTACTTACATGTACAAGTCAGGAATTTTTAACATCTTCTCTAGTGTTTAGTTGGTTATGCTTTAATGGATTTAAACGTTTTTTTTTTAGTTTATTTATTAATGAAAAATAACATCTTGTTTTATTAATAATAATGCACAACGATTAATGACTACTGATTGTTAGGGTTATTGTCCTAAAAAGTAAGCCGAAGGTAATCACGCATTAGGTGCGTGCAGTCTTGCCTACCTTACTTTTTAAAATTACGTTTTTTTTTTCTTCATCTAGTTTTTTGGGACTCTCAAAACACTTAATCCGCCATTTTCCAGACACCCGTTATACATATATCCTGATTTCGAAATATGTGCAATAAAAAAATGGGGAATAGCTCACAATAAGATTATTTCACTGCGTAAAACTCACGTTACAAAGTAGTAGTAATGCTTACATCATATAATAAATAGATATCAACACGCCATGTTCTTTCCCTAGGAGAGCCTGTGACGACATCCTCCTGTCACACATCTCTCTTGTGCATGGAGAGATTACAACGAAGCTATCCTTGCCTGATCACTATTTGAATTTTGCGCGCCTAAATTTTAGGAAGTATGTCTGAACTAATTTCGTACGAAAGATGTTGACAGATTGATTTTATAAATAATTCACAGTAGATAACGAAAGGAATAGTAAATTATTGGGCAGCAATTGTGATCCGTTATGATTAGGTACATCACTTAAAATAGGATCTTTGTTCTAAATTCTAAAATTGTGTTTCGTACAAGAACTCGAAAGAGAGGTTAGAAGAAACATCTGTCAAAAGCGATTTGTTGTGCTGGTGCGGTACAAGGATGGAAGTGAAATAGACATATACAGATGAAATGCATATAACAAAGATGAAGATGTGGTGATCACACAAGGATAGCATTATACTACTCCCTTTGACGTAGAAAACGACAACAGATAGCTTCAAGTCTAGTCACAGCTTTCAGTTTGAGTATTGATATCTATTTGTTATGTGACCTAAGTAGTAATGTCTAGAAAAAATTATTTGAAATTAAATATAAATTCGTCACCTTAGAACTGGTTTGCCTCATATCCAGATCGCGTCCGAGGGATTTTCGCCTCTACTGTTTGGTGCAGATTTGCCGCATGTCGCACTTGGGCGAAGCGAAACATAGTTTAGATTCAATGCTGATTTGCCGCATGTCCAAGCAGAAATCGATACAGTACCGTTATCCGTTTTTACGTACTTCATTGCTGTTTTGCTTTTCAGCGTTAGGTTTGGGGTTGGGAAAGAAATCGTATTCAACTTCACGCGTAGAACAATAAGAATAATGTGAAATAAATAAAAAAGAGACTTAACAATTTTGATGAATCTGAAATTAAAAAAAAGCAACTGTAATTTGTGCAACTCTTTTTCTGTTATAGATGTTACAAATATTTTCAAATTACATATTAGATTCGAAATTTTACAAATTTAAATTTCAAATAGATTTGTTGTTCGATAAACAAATAATTTAATTTTTTTCTAAACAGTAACATTTTTCTTTAATTTTTTCTCGGGAATGATTGAACTTATTTTCTCTAAAGTTTTAGTGAACAAGATTTATAACGCTGCATACCAGTAAAAGAGTTCACAATTTTTTGTAGTATTCTTATTTGTAGAAACAATATTTCTACATCAATAATCACAAATAATAGATACATTTTTAATTTTTTAAATTAAAATGTTGTAAAAGTAATATGAAAATTAAAATTTCGAAGCAAAATCTGTTTAGGTGGATTTTGCTTCGGAATTTATTACTGGAACGTTTACAAAAATCAGCTTTTGACATAAAATGCTTGCAAATTTGAAACAGAATTGGAATGTTTCTTGACAATCATGCCTAATACATTTTTGACTTGTATCTTTTAAAAAGAATTATTTCCGAATTTATAGCTATTTACAATTTACGACTTACTTCAAGAATAAATTCCGTATTAGAATTTTACCTATAATAACTAAATAGATGTATGTTGTTAACTCATATAAGGTACCTTACATCGAAACGAGTAATTTGTTTTTTAATATGACATTGCCTTTCTTTATCATTCTATTTGTCTAACAATTATTGTTGTGCAATTATACGCGTGTAAATAAAACTAAATTTACAATAACTTATTTATGGGTAAATTTTTTTACCAATTAATTTAAGTGGATGGTTATATGTAATGGTAATAATAGCCGCATAAAATTCACTCACTGTTTAGGTATATCAGATATAAAAAGCTATTAAATCCAAATGTTATTGTTTATTTTTTTATGTCTCGAGCGCAAGCTAAGGAAGTATTGTAATCAGGTTCATCGGGCGACTGGCTACTTTTATGGCTTCTCAACGTTTCATGACTCCTATAATACGAAAACATAGGTCTCTCGTTTCCAGTTGATAAAACGCTGACCAACATTTGTTATCATCCTCCCCATCATATAACGTCATCTCCAACTTTTACAGCAATAAATGTTATATAAATTTAAAAAAATAACATACTTCTTCATTTGTTGTTTGTTGAGTTTTTATCCTAAGCACCCAGATTGAATTGAATTACCATAACCCTAATTTCTTGAGATTTTGGAAACAGGATATACTACATAAAGAAAGTTAAAAGAATTTGAAGTAATGTAATGATACTCTTTTTACATCAACATACTATTATCAATTAATTGGGCATCGTCCAAAATACTGTTCATAAATTATAAGTGCAGGAAGTTTATGCAAAAGCATGCAAATACATTTTTTGCGTATAGTAATATGTATTACTTTATTATTAAATATCTACTCATTTACAAGAATTATTAAAATTAGTAAAAAAAAGTATTCAAGTCTCTGTCTAGTTTAATACCTTACCTTATTAAAATAATAAGTTTAATCAATTATGTAGTTAGCAAACAATGACGTTTAATTTATACTTAGTAGGGTCAGCCCCGTAGCTACGGGGGGGGCAAGATGGGGCTGAGCCCCCCTTAGCAGTTGTGGTTGCGCCCCCTGGAACACTTACACATTATAAATTTCAAATTAGTAATAAAATTTCAATATAATGCCCATTGCTGAAGCATATTTACTAGCCCTACCCGCCCACCCTTTATTTTCTTACAGGGTATGTCATTTGGCAATATATACGAATTTTTAGATGCAGTACAGCTGTTTGTGAATCTACATTCTCTGAATAGATCGCAATGACGCATCAAAGATTGGCAAACTTGGTTTTTCTGGCTTTTCAAAAGTACCGTACCAATTCTTTGGAGTTGGACAGGTTTTTACCAAAATTTAATAGCGGAAAAACGACGTTTACAACTGTTTTAATGAAAAAATAAAGCAGTTATCTGAGTGTATTATTGAAATATATACAGGGTGTCTCAGAAATAAGTACATTAATTTTAATCAGTCATAGAGCTCATCGAACTCAACAATTTTTTTTAATAGAGTTTTGTCAAGAACTTTTTAATTATCAAGTT